CGAGTTCGTCCCCATCCTCAGCTCTTTGCTTGCGGAGGCTCAGGTTAGGAGAGCTCCTTGGGAGCTCCACAAAACTTGTAAATGCTTGTTGTGGCCTTCTGGAGGCCTCCTGGCTTCCTTCTGGGGGCCTCATGGGGGCTTCCCTAGGCGACCCTGCTTCCAACCGCGGTCTCCCTGAACGACTTGGTCACGATTTGAAATGATTCGGGGGGCGTCTTGAGGCCATATTGGTCCGTTATGGCGCTCTCTTTGGGCCATATTGGGGCCCTGTTGGGCTGTCTTGGGGCTCCTCTTCGACTGCCTGGAAGCCCTCTTTGTTAGTTTGATGACGATTATCTGGCCTTCCGGGCGGTCTCGGATGCGTGGAAGATCGAGTAACAGACGGACCATCCCCCAGATCACACAACACCGTAGGAAATCAATGCTTGTTATGTTTCGAATGGTTCTCGGGGGTCTTCTTTGGATCGTCTGGTGGGTTTCTGGGAGCCCCTGTGGGCTCTCGCGGGGCCGTTCGGCCGCCCTCCTGACCAAGTTGGGCCGACTGCCTAGGCCCAGCAGGGGCTTCAGGAGCCCCGGAAAACACAGGGGACCGTCTGCAAGTGCGTCCAGTGCAGGGTGCGCCTGGGGCCAGGGATCTGGGTCCATTTTAGGGAGGGGTTTCCGCAGATTCTCCTCAGAGTGGAAAAATAGAGAGGGGAACATATAAAAACACACAATCCTATTCCTACCCATCGCTCGTTGCGCATGTATTTATACATTTTTCATACATGCATACATACATACATACATGCATGCATACATGCATACATACATGTATACACACATCGGTTCTCATATCCCAATTCGGACGATTCCATATTTCAGGCATATGGCATGTGTCTCTTCCGCTTGCAGGGGGCAGGCGGAAATTTAATTTATGTTCACCGTTGTTTCTGTCCATCTCATGTCTCTGTCCACTTATTCCGAAGGATGTGTGTTTATATTCCTGCTCCGCCCCATACGCCTCCTCCAAGTCAGCATATAATCCCACTATCCTCGCCTTCGGTCCTGCCAGCAACCCTCCAAGCGGGGTGCCCGTCGCGCCCCTCAAAAAAACCACACGAAGCCGGCGCCATTCTTTTCAGCACGGACGTGTTCTCGCCAACGTTGCAGCATGCACGGCGGGAACGGGACGCTGCGCACATCGCGCGCGCGAGCGAGCGAAGTGCCGTGTCAGCGCCGCGCGTCAGCGCCGCGCCCGCGCCAGGGTTCGCCGCACTCTTTCCCCGCCGGCTCGTCGGCGGCGGTGTCGCGTGCGCGGGCGAGCATGCGATTCGCGCGCAAGCAAGCGTCGCGCCGTTTCCGCTCGGAAGTATAGTAGCGTGCTTCGCTTGGTGCGGCGCATACTCTTCGCTCGCCCGGTCGTTGGGAGCGCGGCCCCGTGCTTGCGGGCGAAAGGATGGTCCCCCGCCCAGCGTCCTCCTCCTCCTCCTCCTCCTCCTCCTCCTCCTCCTCCTTCTCCTCCTCCTCCCCGCGCAGATGGGGTTCGAGAGTGGCGCTCCAGCTTAGACGCAGCGCTCCGGTCCGTCCCGTCGGAGGCATCATCGCCGCGCGCGCGAGGCCTGCGTGGCGTCGCCAGCCTTAAGCGCCGCGCGGTGGTTTTTGTTCCGAGAGTTCCGCTCCCGCTATTCTTCGGCGGCGAGGCATAGGCAGTCCGCACCAGCGTGGAACTAATCTTAGGTCGGGCACGTCACTCTACAGGAGAAAGATTCAAAAATAGTCAAAATGGTTTGGGGACGATTTGTTGAATCTGATTTTTTTTCAGTATTTGTTTATTCTTGTTTTTCCTCCAAAGTCTGCATGTAGGAGGACATGCCCCAGGGGCAACCGAAAGGCGAATTGTCCGGCGTGCACGAGGAAGGAACGAAGACGAGCGAGGCCGCGCGAGGGGAGGAGCCCGCCTGTGTAAGGCCCTTGATCGTTGCTCGGCAGGACGTCGCAAGCGGGGCAAGGCGCGCGCGCGAGCGCCCGCCGTTCGCTGCAGGCGGAAGCGCGTGCCAGTCCCAGCATCCGATGGTGACCGCACTGATGTCTGTGGCATGTGGGGATGGGTGGGAGTTGGTCCGAAGAACAGAAAGCGCCATAAACATAAACTGTTGGCGCTCAGCGCGGATTTCTTGGATCCGCGCTGCGCCCCCCCCCGGCGGCGCCTCCGGCGCCGCCCCTGGCGCACTCCGCGCGCCAGGGCGGGGGGCCCAGCGCAGAGGCAAGAAATCCGCGCGGAGCGCCAAAAGTTTATGTCGATGGAGTTGTTTCTTATTCTATGCGCGCGGGCAGGCTTCGCTCAGCTCCTCCTCGCCGAACTGCACAGATCCAAGACGTCCGCGCGGAGCACCACAAGTTCATGTTGATGCAGTTGTGTCTGCTTCTGTTTGGGGGGGGCCCTGGCTTGTCCAAGACAAGAGCTGGCTAGCTGGACTCCTGCCAGCTGTCCCACCCCCTCCCCGAGGCGTTGTTGCTGCCCTTTCTTCGTGGCCCAGCTTCCTGTGCGTATGCGCAGGGCCTCCGGTCTGCTGCTAGTCGCGGTCGTGCTTCGACTAGCGTTCTGCCCACGCACACTCATATGCACGTTTACACTTTTGCTTGTTCTCAGTGCTGTAGGCAATTCCAGCGTACGGCGAAGCCACAGCCCACCGCATCGCTCTTCCCGTTCTTTCTCCTCGCCCCAATTCGCGATCGTCATTCGTCGCCAGTCAGAGACAGTGTCATCTTCCCCCCTTTCTCAGCATCACGTTCTTCCTTTTTCACCCTCCTCCTTGCTTTTGTTTCATATGTTCTCCTCACCCTCGCTCATGCTCTGCCACCTCTTCCTGCTCCTCTTCCTCCTCTTGCTTCCCACGATCCGCCTTCCTCTTCGTCACCCCTGCTTCCTCTCAGCTTCCTCATTCCTCCCTTTTCCTTCTCCCACCCCGCTCCTCCCGAATATTCCTCACTCCTCCCGTGTGGGGTCGAACCGTTGGAGCAATTCCGTGTGCATCTCTTCGGGTATTGTTTGCAAATACAGCCGCAGTTGGGGCCAAAAGGGGATTTCGTTCCTTGCTCGAGCTCCCTCGGGGAGCTTCCCTTCTCCATGATGACCGCGCGAGGGCGCGGAACTGAACGCGTTTCGCTCTTACCTTCGCGCGGCGCCCCCAAAAAACGATTAAAGATTGTCCCGAGCTGCTCAATAGGAGGGGGGGGTGCAAATCTCCTGGGGGTGGGGGTCGAATATGCCTGTCTGGAGGCAGGTTTGCCGCGCGCAAGCGGGCTGGAACGGGCCGTCGGGTTGAACGGCATGGGGAGGGTGTTTCTTGAACGATCTGGAGTATAGTCGGACCGATGAATAAGATCGAGGTCGGTTCGGGGAGGGTACCCTAGTGTTCTTCGTGTTTGTTGGGCTTTCCTGTGCATGCTGCGGAGCGGAGGGTACCCTTGGATATTATGCGTGCTTTGGCCAGGGGAGGGTCTCATGTTCTTGGGGGATGTTCTTATGTCCTGGGTCGACTGAAGTCCGCTAGGCTTCCACAGGCCGGGCCCAGGAGCTTGCCGTCCGGCAGCACCGAGGGCACGAGAAGCCAGGCCCCCCAAACCTGGATGTGGCTGGCCAACCAGGGCCCTCAAAACACTCCACCTGGAGAGAACGAGGGCTGGAGAATGGGCTCGACACCCACGGCTGCAGTGGTCCACGGGCGTGCCGACGCCACGGTCTGTCAGAGTCCCCCGTGTCCAGGGCCCTGAGGGCGGCGAACGTACAGCGAGCGGCTTGAATAAGGAACACTTACTTTTCAAAAGGGGCTCGGTCGTTCCTCAGGCCTGCATGCGTTATCGATCGCTCCTTAGGCGTTATGTATGCTGGATTCTTCCTTATGCGTTACTCCTTGAAAACAGGGGCTCCGTTCCTTATCTATCGTTCCTTGGGTCAGGCCGATGACTGTATCCCTGCCCACCCCGTCGCGGCCTGGCTTCCGGGGCGCGATCCCGCGGGCACGCGGTCGCCAGGACACGCTCCATGCGCGCGGGGCAGCCGCGGAGAAGCGCCCCGTGTCCATGGGGTCGCGGCCTCGCAAGGCTGCGGAGACGTAGTATGCGCTTCCCGCCCACGGACAAACAAAAAAGCGGGCAGAGGACGTTTCGAGGAGGAACATTTTCATGACACCAATCAAAAACCCACTCAGTGGATTGTTTGAAATGGGATCGATGAAGATATTGGGAGTTCGACCGGGACCTCGGGAACCTGGGACCCGGAACACACCGAATTCGGCCCGGAACCAGTGATCAGGAATCCGGGAACCCGGGACCAGGAGCCCGGGAACCCGGGAACCCAGCCAGCCACCAAAATCGGCGGGACATTTTCGCCAAATCTTTCAATTTCCGCTAGGACCCCTTCAGTGCAAGCACTGATATGGGGAATTACCATAAACTTTCGGAGCCCCGCACGGATTTCCTGGATCTGCGCTGGCTGCGCTGGGTACCCCCCCTCCCCGGCGCGCGGAGCGCGCCAGGGGCGGGGCCGGGAGGCGCCGCCAGGGGGCCCAGCGCAGATCAAGGAAATCCGCACGGGCCGTCGAAAGTATGTGAGGCGTTCCAGACAGGGCCTTGCCTTCGAGGATCTAAGGAATTGTCATCTTTTCCTCGGCGGAAGGCGGCGGAAGGGCGGCGGAAGTTAAACGAGGCCGCCTCCGCCGGCGGAAGCCGGCGGAAGCTCGGCGGAAGGCGGCGGAAGTAAAAGATGTGCCCCCAAGAGATGAACATTTGTGTTGGTTCAGTGTTTCTGAAATCGCCCATACAGTCGAGATTGATTAGTAGGTCGACCTTGCCAACTCAAGGGTCCCCTTGTGACCTGAGCTGCGCGATCCATGCCTTCTTACATTTCTATGGCAATGTGGCCCTCGGGTCTTGCGTCCTCTCGCGTATCCTCTCCCATCAACCCCCGGGCGCGAGCGCGTCGCCACGGCCTCGCCGCGGGCGCGGGGGGCCCGCAGGTGGCGGCCTTCGCGCAGTTCGGCTCTGACCTGGACGCGTCGCCGCCTCGGAGTGCTCGAGTAGAAGGTTGACTACCCAGACATGCGACATCCGATTTTTTTTGATACGGGGTCCCTGGAAGTCCCGACCTTTTCCCCAGTACCTGCTTTTCGTCTTGAGTCGTTTTTTGACTGTCCCGAGGCCCGGCGAGGGCCCCCCGAGGCCGAAAATTGGCAAAAATCTCCCGTCCTGATTTGTTTTACGACGCGATCATGTCTGCGTGCAGACTTGACTTTCCCTTAGAAATACTTAAGGAGGTCTGATTTGAGGGGGGGGTCTGATGTGAGCTGTCATGGAGGGTTCGGGGGAGTCTGAACGAAAGGCAGCCCTCTCATGGCTGGTTTGAGGTCTGAGGGGGGTCTGAAACGGCCCGTCTGGCGGGTATCAGAGACCCCCTTTATTTCGGCATCGAGAGTATTTTACGCCGAATCTGCAATAAGTGCGTAGACTGCTGAGTAAAAAACAATTTGGGGTACATGAATTATGTAGTCGATCTTCAAGTCGAATTGCGCGCCCCACCATTCCGGTCGCCTGAGCTTGGTCAGCGGCGCACGGGGACCCCTGCCATCCTCAAGCAAGACATCAAGCAAGCACGATGGTGGTTACGAAACGCACACGAGCACGTCGCCACCATCGTGTGGTATCGTGACACGCACCGACTGCGACCCGCCACGCCGTGACCGAAGAGACGGTGTCCCGCCACAGCGCTGGCATGGCCGCCCCACCCCCAGCTGCTTCGCAGGCGCGCTCCGTAAGCTTTCTAGGGCCACGTTGCTCGTGGGCGCCCTCTCTTTCGCCGGGTGGGAGGGTGGAGGAGGAGGGAGGAAAAGGGTTGAAGCATTGTGTACCGCACAGTGTCGTCACTTGGATTTCGGCCGTGAGACATGCACGACGGGAGGAGTTTGATCATTTTTACCTTGGGCCCTCACCGAGGGCATCAGGAAGCTGATCTCCGAGCACGGTGGCCCGTGGGGCGAGCGGTGGCAGGCCTTGGCCAGAACGTGGCGCGCCCATCTCCAGAGACACTGGCGCACGCCTGCCGCCAGGGCGCTCGCAGCAGCGGGCGGGCTGGCTACCGCGCGCGTCATCACCCGGACAGAGAACTTCCTCCGCGGCAGGGGGACAGGGCGCTTCGGCACACGGCGGGTGAGAGGGAGGCCCATCCGTTGGGTAGAGCATGCGTGATGCTGCGTGTGCATGCGCATTGTATGCCAGTGTGTTTGTGCGTTGACAGCTTCCTGTGCGCTGCCCTCATCGGCGCCTAATAGTAAAATTGGGCCCTCACCGGCCCCAGGAGCCGTCACCAAGAATGCTGGGGAGGAAAAGCCAGCCCCGGGGAAGGGTCCAGGCTTTGCGGAGCCGTTTTATGTAAGAGTCACGCCGACGGATGCCTGGGGGAACGCGAAGGGGGTATCAGAAGCCTTGCCTCCTTCTGATGAGCATTCTCAGACGGGCGGGGCCCCTTCGAAGAGGCCACGTGTGGAAGGTAGCCCCCTCCGCACCAGGCCCTTTGCTGCGCGCCGTCCATGGGGGAGCGACGTCTTTGACCAAAGACGGCTTGCGGCAGGAGGGGGGGAGCGGAGGGCGATCCTTGAAGAACGACGATACACATGGGTCTCAGGATGTGGTTGAGCTGCTCGTCGTGGGGGCGAACTCCGCTGCGCCCTGGTGTTACACTCCGCCTCCGCACGCCCCGGTCGCCCAGCCGGGGCAGCAAGGAAGCAGGGGGAGCGGGGAAGGCTTCTTAGAAGCACCCTGCCACCCTGCTTCTTAGAAGGCGCGGGCCTTAACACTACAGAGCAGGCTTGCGCCTCCTAATCAGCAGCCTCCTTCTAAGAAGCCTTCCCCCCTCCCCCTGCGTACCCCGTTGTGCACGCCGCCCAGGGTGTCTTGGGGGCCTCTTGGAGGTCTCTGGGGGCATCTTGCAGATTCTGGGGAAGGCACGCTCGGTGTTTGTCGGAGGCTTGGGGACCATCGTGGGGGGCAGAGAGCCAGGACAATCAGGAAGAAACCCAGCCCCGTGCCAACGCGGCACGGTAGCATATTCAAAACGTTTGGTGCTGCTTCCCGTTTGAACGTCCTGGATCGATTCGGCGACCTCCTCGGAGTCCCTTCTCCCCCTCGGTATATCGCCGAGGGTCCGAGCGTCGGCGAAGTTTGCGAGATTGATGGCAGGTCTCCGCGCTCTTGCGTCACGTGCCCAGGTTCGATCGTGCCTATCGTTCATGTCGTCGTTGTTGTCCATTAGGCTCAAGGAGTGGCAGCTCCGCATGAGGCGATGTGAAACTCGGAGCATTGACACATCGCTCGGCGAGGTCGGTCGCCATGCGGCGAGACGGTCCGCCGCGAGGAGGTCGGCCGTCGGATGCAGAAGGGCACGAGCCGCTGAGCTACGCCTGCGCCGCCAGCAGAGGCGACCGGCTGCGGGCCGCACTGGCTGCTCCCTCGGGCGCGTCGCCGCGCTCGTTGGCGTCGCAGTCGCTCGGCACGATAGAGATCAGCGCGACCGAGATGCAGGTGCAGGCCGCTACGGGAGGAAGGGAGTGAGGAGGGAGGGGGGAGGAGGGGGAGGCGGGGAGGGGCAGAAAAAGGACGAGAGGAGGAGGAGGAGGAGGAGGAGGAGGAGGAGGAGGGCAAGGAGGCAAGAGGAGGGGGGGAGAAAAGGAAGAGGAAGAGAAGTAGGACGGGGGAAGGAGGGTGAGGCAAAAAGGGGCACGGAGAAGGAGAGATGATGGGGGGGGGTTAGCGGCAGGGAGGGGGGAAGAGAGAGGAGGAGGAGGAGGAGGAGGAGGAGGAGGAGGAGGAGGAGGAGGAGGAGGGGGAAGGGAAGGAGGATGAGGAGGAGGAGGAGGAGGAGGATGCGGAGGAGGAGGAGGAGGTGGAGCAGGATCCTCGTCGGGGACGTCGACGACGGCAACGACGTCGACGTCGAAGTCGCCGTCCTGAACATTTGCGGGTGCTCCTGCAGGATCTGACGGGCATGAGCTCGCTGCGGGCTGCCTTGGCGCCACCGCCGGGCAGCGCGCGCAGGTGGCCCCGGCAGTGCGGAGCCGCCCGCGACGGCGAGGACGCTGGCCTGTGCCAGGCAGAGAGGATCGGACGGGGCTAGGACGAGAATAAATCCGGACGACTCAATTTTTTCACAACGGGCGTTTTCCCCTAGTTTCGGGCCCCAGGAACTTTATAGAGCGATCTGGCTCGAAAAATGACGCAGAAAGATGGGGTCCAGAGCTCTGGTCGTGCTGTGTCACGATGTTTCAATTTTTTGAGACGTCGGATCTCAGGGTGGAACGAGGATAAATCCGTTCCAGGACGTTCCAGAACGCTCTCAGAGCGTTCCAGACCTCTCTGAGAAGGCCGCGGCGCCAGAGACATTTTCCAGAGCCGCCAGATCTCAGAGATTATCGATGCATCCTCACCCGAATTTGTCTTCGTCCGCGCGCTTCGTCTTGGAGCCGGGGGTGGACAGAACCGCCACCTTGACACGTTGATTAGTGATTTGTCAGTTTTCGGTTTTCGAGAGGGCGCCGCGGCCGTCATTTTGCAGGCTTGCGTCCGCCAGGTTTAGGCACGAGGTCGTTTTCGCTAAACCACGTTTTATTGTAGTGGCCTCCGGCCAGTGCCGCCGATCCGGGGCGCTCCTGATTATATTGTGGTTGAGATGGACGATGACGACGACAACGGACGACCAACGGTCGACGAGCTGGATAATTACGACGACGACCGACGAAGGAGTTCATGACGACGAACCGACGACGACGACGACGACGACGACGACGACGACGACGACGACGACGACGACGACGACGACGACGACGACTGACGGCGAACGGCTGCCGACGGCCGACGACCGACGACTGGTGACGGCGACGGGTGGCAGGTTCTTCGTTCATCGCTTTCGCTTCCGAGCAATACCAAGTCAGGCCGTGCACCTCTGGCCTGGCAGCACGCGCGTGAGCGCCTCTTGGGGCCTCTTGGTTCTTGTTGATTCGTGGGGGCCTTTGGGGCCTCTTGGGGGCCTCTCGGGGTCCTCTTGGTGGCCTCTTGGGGACCTCTTGGGGGCCTCTGGGGGCCCCTTGGGGGCGCCTCGGGGGCATCTTGGGGGCTCTTGGGGTCATCTTGGGGTGGAGGACTAGAAGGTCCGTTCGGGTTCACCCTGTTGAGGCCATCTTGGGGGCCTCTCGGGGTCGTCTTGTGAGGCCTCCAGGGCTATATTGGGGCCCTCTTGGACCGTCTTGGCTCCTCTTGGGGGCATCTTGGGCTGTCTTGGGGCGATATCGGAGGCCTCTTGGACCGTGTTCGGCGCTTCTAAGACGGAAAAGGCGATAATGTTAAAATGTTTCAAAACCTATTAGCTCATGTATTATTGTACCCTCTTGGGGCTCTCTTGGGGGGCCTCTTGGGATCTCCTTGAGGCGTCTTTGAGGCCTCTTGGGCCGTCTTCAGGCCATCTTGGGCGTCCAGGAGCGCTCTTGGGCCGTTTCGGGCGCCTCCTGGACCGTCTTGGTGGCCTCCTGGGCCCCTTTTGGCCCATCTTGGGGCGGTTTGGGATTCCCGGCTGGGTGGGGAAAGAAAGCGTGGACCCGATGACCCCCCCCCCTCCCCCCCCTACCCCGGCAGAGCCCCCCCGGCCCCCCCCAGCAGAGCTGAAGCTCAGGTTGTAGCTTTCTTAAACTCACACGCCGGATCGGCGGATTACTGAAGGGGGTCCTGTCCATCCCCGATAGAGGAGCCTGATCTGCGCGCGCTCGGCCCTGGAGGACAGCCCGCTCAAGTCTCAGAGGATCCTCAGCGAGTACTTCGCGAGCCCGGCCCCCGAGGACCGTCCGCGCGCGCTCGAGGCGGCGAGGCCCGCGCGCTGGCGCCACGACGGCGCGTCCTCGGCAGGCAGCAGCCTGCTCGGGGAGCAGAGAAGCCCGAGCGAGTGCCTGCAGCGCGTTGGCCTGGAGGGCGGCAGCCCGCCCGAGGCATCGGGCGTCGCGGAATGGGGGGCGATACCCAGACCTCCTCCTCCTCCTCTTCCTCCTCCTCCGCCTCCTCCTCCTCCTTCTCCTCCTCCTCCTCCTCCCCCTCCTCCTCCTCCTCCTCCTCCTCCTCCTCCTCCTCCTCCCTCCTCCTCCCCCGCCTCCCCCTCCTCCTCCTCCCCTCCTCCTCCTCCTCCTCCTCCTCCTCCTCTTCTGCCCCCTCCCCCTCCTCCCCTTCCTCCTCCTCCTCCTCCTCCTCCTCCTCCTCCTCCTCCTCTTCCTCCTCCTCTTCCTCCTCCTCCTCCTCCTCCTCCTCCTCCTCCTCCTCCCTCCGTAGTCATTTTGGCTCAAGATGCAAAATTCCTCAGGGCAACAAGTGGATACCGCTAGTCCGCGGCGGGCAAGACCTCTTGAGGTCTGGCAGTGCTTGTGCATCGCACCCACGTTCGTGTCGGTGGGAAAGCGGAGGCGTTTCCCGTTCCTGCCTGCGCGAGCGTCTCAGATTCGCTAATGGGGGTCGCCGGCCAGAGCGCGCAGCAGGTTCTCCTCGATGGTTTCGATCCCGCGTCCACCTTCCCCTCGCAGTTTTCTGACGACGCCGCGAAGGGCAACCAGCGTGGGAAGGGTTCTGGTCCATCTCGTGCTGCTGATGCTGATGTTCCCCCTCCTGGCAAGCGTCGTGCCTTGCCGCCCGCCTCTGAGTGTCGCATGGTCCCGACGGGGCCGTTGAGGATGCCGAAGACGCTGAGTGGGCTGGAGTGTCAGATGTACACCCACGCAACATTGTGCGATCTGAATGGAGTGGTCTCAAGGAGTTTATGCAGGAAGAAGTGGGCAGGACTGTTGCCGCATCGGTTTCGGAGTCGAACAAAGCTGTTCTACAGGCGTTGGAAGCCGTCAGGATTCAACTCAATGGACAGGCGTCTTCCCTCGACCAGCAGGTGCAAGCCGCGATCCAGCCCTCGCTCGACGAGGCCGGGAAGCAGTTCCAGAAGCAGCTTGATGCACAGGCGTTGCGCCTGGACGAGCAGGATGAGAGGTTGGACAAGCACGGCGCGCAGCTGCAGGCGTTGCAGGGCGAGCTGGTCGAGTTCAGGAAGTTGCTAGCGGTTGCTGAGGAGCGGCCTGTCGCACTGGTTGCGGTGCCGTCTGGCTTCCCCCGCGACCCCGGCCACGCGATCGTCGTTGTCATGTCGCAGGTGCCGACCTCGCTTGCGGCTGTCAAAAAGTCAACGGATGAGCGGTTGCAGTCTCTGGCGTTTAAGTCGGAGGAGTACAAGATCGAGGTGGCGGGCCATCCGCCTAGCCGCCGATGCCTCATCAAGTTCGGCGGGCTGGTTGCGCCCGCGACTAGGAGAATGGCGTTTGGAAGGAGTTCTGGGCGGAGGTCGATGGGGCCCCTGCTTGCCGCCTCCACTTGGGCCCAGACAAAAACCCGCAGCAGGCCAAGCAAGATATCGCGCTTCGCAAGTGCAAGGACGCGCTTCAAGGCGCGCGCCGTGCTGGTTCAAAGATATTCCTGGATCGCGAGAGGGGGGGTGCTGTGCATTGGCTGGGACAAGGTTTTACGTGTTAAAGTCGTCCATGGGGAGACCCCGCCGAAGTTGCGGTGGGTGGTCGAGGGCCTTCAGAAGCATGGGATTACGAAGGCGCAGGCTGTCGCGGCGACGAAGGTGCCCACGGACCCTCCCTCGGAGCCTCAGTGGTGCCTTCGATGTCGCCTCGGTCTTTCACTTCGGCATGTGGGAGCGCAGTGGGCCTCCGCCTTCACTGCGGTTTGCGACGTGGAACTGCTGTGCTCTTCTTCAGGCTGCAGGGGTGTAGGCTAGCCTGAAAAGGAACTACTCGGCGCGGCTTCGCCCACACGACGCGGTCATATCGCTGCAGGAGATCCGCCAGGACGAGCTGCAGTCGCGTGCCTTCATGAAGCAGATCCGCCCCGAGTCCGCGCAGATTTCGTGCTTCGCGGGCAGGGGGGGGGGGGGGGGGGCGGGCCGCATCAAGGGTGGGGCCGCAATTTTGCTTCCGAAGCTATCCATGGCAGATGGGGCTCTGACGGTAGTCTCGCATGATAGCCTCATACCTGGGCGAGCGCCGAAAGTGGATATCCAGAGGGGGGATGTCATGCTCACAGTCTTCAACATTCACGATCACGGATTGAGTTAGGATGACATTCGTGGCGTGACCGGGCCCATCGGCTCTGCGCTGAAGGCCGCCGCTGACGACCCTGTGCGGAAGTTGTGTGTGGTCAACGGCGACTTCAATTTTGCTGCGGATGAGGCGCTCATCCTGCGCGCTCCTTCAGCTGCCATTTGGCGGTCTCGCCGTCGGCTCACGCTCTGGAGGAAGTTGCCGGCGCGCATGCTCGAGCTTGAGGGCGACGAGCCGACCCACTACGTCAGGGGCACCAATGAGTCGCCCAGCATCGACAGGGTCTTTTGCTCCCTCGCCAGCTGGCAGGCCTGCCAGATGCACATCACCTCGTCGACGGTCGAGTCGGCTGCCGCAGTTTCTGACCAAAAGACCCCGGATCACACTGCAGTGGTTGTCTCTTTCTTTACCCTCGCCCCTAAGCCCGCTGCCGAGCGCCCCGCCCCACGCGAGCTGCGTCGTGAGCGCGTCTTTCAGGTGCGCCTCGAGGGTCTCATTTGTTCCCGTGACTGGGCTTCGATGTCTCCACCCTTTCGTCTTGAACATTGCAAGTTCCTTCGTCGCCAGGCTGGTCTTGACGCGCGTGATCGTCTCTTCCGCCAGCGACCCCACCACCCGCACACGCTGCTGCTATTTGCTCGGTCCCTGGCCCGCGTGGCACGGGGGCAGGACTGGCGCCTGGCGCGCCGTTTGCAGAGCTCCCATCCCGAGACCGATACGCGCGTCGTGATTGACGGCGCCAGTGCATCCTTGCGTCGCCCCCCTTCGTTTTAAGAACGGCCCTGTCGTGTCCAACGCGACGCGGCTGATGCCCTCCGCCGCGAGCTCCAAGCTAGACGTGGCAAGGAAGGGGATGTGCAGCAGATTCGTCTGCAGATCCGTGCGCTTGACGAGAAGGCGAGGTTGCGGTCCCCGATCGGCAGGCGTCTGTCTCTCTCGGGCGTGGTCGACTCTGCCTCGCACAGCGTCGTGACTGACCCGTCTGACCGCGTCGAGGCCCTTGGGAGGCACTGGGGCCCCGTCCTTGCCAAGAAGCCGTTTGCTGCTGCCGCTGCGCAGTCGCGTCTTCAGGGGCGCTTGTCGTCGATTGAGGATGTTATCACGCCGTCGCCGTCGTTGCGTTCGCTGAAGGAAGTGATCAGGAGAGCTCGCCACAGTGCTACGAGGGTGGATGGGTTGCCGCATGATGCCTGGGGGTGCAATGAGTTTGGGCTTCGCGTCCTCTTCGACGCTCTGGAGTGGGTGGTGACTGGGCAACGGTTCTTCCTGGCGTCTCATACTACTATTCAGGCCTTTCTACGCAAGGCCGTTACTGAGCACGAGCTGAGAGGCGGCGCATGCACACGAATTCCAGATAAGATACGAGTATTAGGCTTGAGGAACACGGATGTGAAGATCACGTCGGCCGTCGTGAATCGCGCGTTGCGCCCTGTTGTGGCGCATGTCGCCCCTCGGGCCCAGCGTGGGTTTGTGCCTGGGCGTACTTTCGGGTTGCATATCCTGGAGGTTGATGCACATGTTCGGCAGCTGTCTGTGACATGTCCTCAGGGTCCTGGCCTGCCTCTCCTCTTCTCCCTTGACTTCGGCCAGGCCTTCCCCTCTCTGAACCAGGACTACATGCAAATGGTGCTGCAGATGTTGAAACTCCATGACGCCCTCCTCCTCTTCGTAAGCCCCCTGTGCGCCGCGATCGAGGGCGTCGTCGCTGTCGGCGGTGTGTTTCGGGTGATTCTCTGGTTTCTCAGTGGGGCCCTCCAGGGCTGCGGGCTCTCTGGGAGCCTCTGCGCGTTGAGTGCGGCGCCGTTCATCGATGACCTGGAGGTTTCGGTCGAAGTCCCTGGGCTTGGGCTGGTTCGGGCGTGCGCGGACGACATCGGCGGCTCGGTTCGATCGATCGCGGGGCTTCTGCAGGTCTCTCGCGACGCGCAGCTGGCTGAGGCTTTCGCCAACCTGGTCCTCAAGATCTAGAAATGCAAAGTGGTGCCCCTTGCTGGGCGCTTTACAGCTCCCTTGGCGGCCCGCGTGAAGGCTGCGATCTCGGAGGCTATCCCGTCTTGGGCTGATCTGGATGTAGTGTCGAAATTGCTCTACTTGGGCCTGTGGCTGGGCCCTGACGTTGGCCCCTGTGACTGCTGGACGGACCCTGCAGCCAAGCTTCGTCTGCGTGCACAGGCGATTGGCCGCGGCGCAACACCCTCCAGCGTCTCTGCCATCTTGTGCAACACCCGTGCGGTGGCCACTCTCTCTTACGTTGCGCAATTTGTCTGGCTGCCGCCCGCGCTCCTGGCGCTCGAGCTGCCGTCGCTGGCGCAGGCGCTTCGTGCGCCACTCGGCGCCCTCTTGCTGGAGTCCCGGGCGCAGCTGGACCTGTGGGGCGGGCCTCGCATTGCGCGCGCGGGGCACGTCGCCGTCGCCTCGCCGGTGCGCCCCGCTGCGTTCACCTCCCCCGAGCGCGCGCAGATCCTGGACTCGCTGGTTTCCTTTGTCCGCACGCACGACGACTGGCGCACGCTGTGCACGCTTCGGCCTGGTCGTCTGCATCCGAGCTTCTGGCGCCCTGAGTCGTATGCGGAGACGTTGGCGCAGGCCGCTGCTGGGCAGGGCCCTCCTGGTCAGCCCTCGAACATGGCCCCCGTGGCGTGCGCGGCAGCCCGCGAGGAGTTGCTGGCCGCGGTGGACCGCCGCCCCCGCCCTCAGCGCGCTGCGCATCGAGCTCTTCGCGAGCTTGCTCGGGACGCTGCACCTCGAGCGGGCATCTTGGAGCTGAGACTACGAAAGCTGATTCCCTGACATCGCGCAGTGCTCGGGGGGATCGACTGGGACGCGATAGTTACTGTACTGAGGCGGTGTCC